TTTTGATATTATTGAAATTAATTAATTAAATCATTGGTTTAGTTTAAATCAATAAAAATATGATAATTCTTATTGGTTCTAATATATATTTTTTCAATCGCAATATAATACTGATGTAGATATACAGTAAATAGAAAAAAACATGGCGAGCGATCAAAAAATGCAGTTTGGCAACATTTTGAATGTTATCCTTCAAAACATCCAGTTAAATTTGGAGCCAAATGTAAAGCATGTAATTGTGGATGGAGTAATGGGATTGTTAATAAACTGCAAGCCAATTTAGCACATGAATGTGAATATATCAAAAAAGATATATGTATATTGTTGCAGAAAAAGATGGTGTAAGTGAATATTTAGAAAATGCAGTATATAAAGCAAATACACAATCACTTGCTAATTTTTGAGATAAATATGAGATGTTATTAAAAGAATGTGTAGTAATTATAGATCATTCAATTTTAAAGGCTTTTGTGACTTGTGGTATCTAGAAGTATTTGATTTTTGGTGCAATTCCCGAAATTTCACCTTCACCAAATTATGTAAAAAATTATTTTTTTTAAAAAAAAAACTTTATTAATAGTGAGTGATAATAATAATAAGCAAAAAATAAAAATAAAGATTAAGAAGATTTGTTTGGTTTGGGATTTTTACGAATTTCGAAACAGTTTAGGAGTTTCGAACAGTTTAAGAATTCATGCTCATTTTCTAAACCAGCTTAGAATAGTTTTAATCTAAATTCATGAGTTTCGGAAGGCAAACTCTATTTTCCACAAGTAACTACTCATACGGCAATAAGTTTTGCGGCTGCAAATACACCAGCAGGAAAATAGTGAAGTACGTAAAGCTCTTATTGTTCAGACAAGAAGACCTGATGGTCGTTGTAAAATATTCGATGATAATGCCTGTGTACTTATAAATAATCGTGGTGAACTATTAGGAACAAAAATACTTGGTGTTATTAGTATTGAATTGAGAGACAAAAAATCGGAGAAAATTGTTAAATCCAAGTATCTTTTTAATAATGCTATTCATTTCTAACCAATATTTTTTAATATCTATTTTTTTTTAATGCCCTTATTATCACATTTTTTATATTTTTAATATAAAATAACAATAATACATATATAAATAATAAAATAATAATCAATAAAATATTACTTGTTAAAAAACAAAAATGAGATAGAATAAAAGATTAAAATCTCCATCGAAATCATAATTATTAACACCCAGTATCATCATTTTTATCATCTACATCGTCATATACACCGTCATCATCATCTACATCATCATCATCATCAACATCATCATCATCATCTACATCATCTACATCGTCATCATCATCATCTTCATCGTCATCTACATCATCGTCATCGTCATCGTCATCTACATCATCTTCATTGTCATCTTCATCATCTATATCGTCATCTACATCATCTTCATCGTCATCAACGTCGTCTATATCATCTTCAACATCTACATCAACATCTATATCATCATCTTCATCATCTACATCATCATCCACATCCAAATCATCATCCACATCATCATCCACATCATCTTCATCTTCATCTTCATCTTCACCTTCATCTTCATCTTCATCTTCACCTTCATTATCGTCATCATCTTCAACATCTTCTTCATCGAAATTTTTTACATCATATTCTTCATTTTCTTGATATTCTTCATATTCTTCATATTCTTGGTATTCTTCAAAATTTACTACTGATGATTTATTATCATCATTTTGTGGCTGATGTCTTTGTACTTGATTTCGTGTGACTTGTTTTGGTCGAATTTGTTGTTGCTGTGGTTGTTTAATTTTTTGTTGGACTTTTTTCGAACTATGATTATTCAATGCTGGTTGTTGTTGAATTGATAGTGATGAAAATTGTAAAGAAGAATTGGGAATGAAATTTTGTAAATTATTCACAAATGCAGGTTGAACATGATGATGACTATTATTATATTGTGTTTGTGGATTAATTTGTGGTAGTGGCGAAACAGTTTGTAGGTTAATTTGTGGCGGTGGCGGCTGCGGTAAAACAATTTGATATTGATTCGGGTGATATTGGTATTGTGATGGATATGCTATTTGTTGTGATGGTAGTGGTGCTGGTAATATAAACCCTGGTGTGTTATTATTATTATTGGATGGCATCTGAACATTATTACTATAATGACCTGGCAAATTTTGAAGCTGTGACAAATTTTGTTGTGGAAATAATGTTTCAAGAAGATTTTTTGTCTTTACATCTGTCAATAAGTTATTTAATATTCCATCTACTTGATTATTAAGTGTTGGATTTATTGGTAGGTCGTTTAATGTATGAGAAGTTTGTGCCTGTGATTGTGGTGGAAGATGTGGTTGTTGTGTTGTAAGGGAATTGTTAGAAGCATATTCATTATGTATTGGATTTATCTTTTTATTTTCTTTGTTGGATTCTGGTTTACTACCACCAGATTTATGATCTGATTGTTCTTTTTTATTTAATCTGTTACCACCACCATTAACAACATCACGTCGTCGCTTCGATTTACTAGATTCAGCATCTGCTATCACAATAGCACCTAACAACAGTTTTGAATCACGTTTCTTATCAGATTCTGGGTCGAGTATTTTACCATCATAATCCAAAAATGTCACAACTTCAGGTACTTTATCATCAACTTCTAATGGAATAAAATATATTTCTCTGACATTGCTATAAACATTTTCTACATGACCATAACGAATACAATTATCTTTCGGTGAGTATCGTAGATGATTAAAAATAACATCAAGTCGTTTTCTATTCAAACAACCTTCATCATCACCAGCAACATTACCATCAACAACTTTATCATCAATTTCAAATTTAACAAAAACAACATCTTTCAATGGTGAACACCAACAATCAATCAAATAATTATCAGCCTGTTCAATATTTGACACGTGTCCATCAATTCTAATTGATGGAGAAGTAAGGTATTCGTTCCAATTTCTAAGCTTGTCTCTTTTTTTGGCAGCGACAAGACTTGCCTTTCCCATAAGTTTTCCTACGCTATCATATAATATTTCCCCTTTCCAAACCGTTGTCGTTGATTTATTGTTGTTCTCGCTAATATTATTGCATTTATTGTTGACATTGTTATTGTTAGCGATAGTAGTAGGTGATTGTCGTGGGCTTATGGAAGGACTTCCAATAGATGATAAAGAAGGTGACAAAGCACCAGGAGAATATGCAGGTGAATCAATTACATTATTATCATCATCATTTTTATTATTATTATTATTGTTATTATTATCATTTTGAGGATTTGTTGAATTTTTATTAATAACATCAGTTGATTGTAATTTAATACAATCATTATTATTATTACTATTAGGCAAAGAAAAAGAATTGAAAGGATCAGTTTTTTTTTTTTTGCAATTTATAAAATCCATTTAGTTTTTCCTCATTGTGTATTTCATTCTCTAAATGATTTTTTACTTCACCGCCAGATTTTGGACATTCCTTGATATGATATCAATCAAATTATTGAGTTAATATAAATATATAATAATATAATATAATCTTTTTAAAATAAATTAAATAAATTAAAATTCTTACATCTTTAATATTAAAAGATTAGGTTTATTTATATATTTTGTAAAGAAAAAAAACAAGAATATACATTAGTAATTTTGATTATTTCTCCCCACCCCCATGAATCAATAACAATGTTGATTGATAAAGTGTACTCCTTACACAAAATCCAAGCATATGTTAAACATACCTTTTAATGAGCATTTAGGACAAATGTAACATTTTATTTCTTTCGCTTGTTGTTCATTATGATTTATACAATTTATATGATACCTGAAATAATTGCATAAATAAATATATAAATATAAAAATACAAAAACATTATATATTTTATCATATCATTAAAAAAAAAATTTACCAATCTTTACAGAGAGAACAATTAATCATTGCACAGCAATGATCATATCTATGACAGACACAACAAGAAGTTTTCCTTTCCTTCCGTAACAGTTCAGTATTTAGTTGTGAATTGGTTAAAAGAAAAGAATCTATTATAAATCGTCGAGTGTTATTATCTACAGCATTATTAATGCTTGTTAGTATCGAATGTTCGCTTTTATCGTTAACAGAGTCGAGAGGCTTAATAAAATCACACTGTTTGTTCATTTTTTTTTATGAAATTTTATTCTATTCGAGATGTTTTTAAAATATTTTTTGAAAGAGAATAATTATTTTTATTTGTTGATCAAGGAGGTGTGTATCATATTAATATATAAAAAATATGCAACAATAATAATTGTAATTCTTTATTCCGTTATTATTATTATTATTATTATTACTTATTATTACGTATTATTTATTTTTAGGAATATTTGGAATAATCAATTATATTAAACAAGAACATTGGAACAAAGCTTACAGTACTTTTAGTAATATGCAATATAAATATAATACATCCGAAAATTTATCTAAACTTGGATTTTCTTTGAATGATCTTTTCCTTTAACAACTTTCCCCGGTTCTAAAGGTGTTCCATTCATAAGTTTTTTTTAAATAAATAAATAATAATTATATATATAAATAATGAATGATGTTTTATGCGAAAATATACATGTTGTCAAAACCCCAGACTTTCGAGCCTAGCTCCAGTTTTGGGTTTCGGCCAGTTTCGGGTTGGAAGGGTTCCTATTCGAAACTGAAACTCTATTAATATCCGAAACTCGAAGCTCTGACTGAAATCTAGGACCTTAGCCGAAACCTTTACACAAGGCCAGGACTGTTAAAAGTTCCAAATGTAAACCACAAACTAATGGAATTAATTATGTTAGATTTTCCGAAATATCTTGGCAAGAATTAGAATTAGAATTTTTTTTTTTTGTAAACTGATGAGATAACTGTTGGTGAAAGGGAAAAATCAATTCCACGGCATAATAATGATGATTTTGATATCGAAAAGAGAAATTTATATATAGTAAAATTTAAATTTAGTTTATATTTAGTTTTGTATATTCGCTCGTTTTATTCGAACTGTTTGTGTTATTCGAATTATTCGAATTTTATTCGTTTTATTTGAATAGACTTTTAATGTAATTCGAGCACTCTAATTTATAATAATAATAATAACGAATGAATCAAATAATTCGGGTAAACTTATTCGGATAGAGATCCTAATACAAGTTCTATTATATACTATATACAAAAGGTTGCGGCTAAGGATTCCAAATTTGACAGGGGGTTTCAAATTTCGGCAAAAGGTCTCGGATTCGACATTGGTTTCGGACTTTCGGATTCGGCTTTATTAATATCGTTAAGAGGTTCTCGGCCACATATATTAATATGTGCGAAAATATAGCTTGCGGGAAAGCTTGGAAACTGGTATCTGAACGTAAATCTGCTGTAAAATTTCAAATTATTTATAATAAATATCTACTAGTGAAACAAATATGAAATTTTTTTTCGTTTAACTTACTAATACTAATACACAGTGTATCTCGATTTAGCGGATTTGGGGGTTTAACGGATAAATTTTCAAAACCAAATCTTTCTATATTTATTTTATCTCGATTTAACGGATTTAACGGATTGTTCATATATATTTGATTTAGCGGGGGTGGATTTTTTAAATCTATATGTTCGAGTATAATAAAAATATCTCGATACAACGGATAATGTCGATCATTAACTAATACAGGCACCAAACGTCATTAAATATTAACTAGAGAAACTGGATAATCTTTACCTTTACTAATTATTTTAAACGTTTTTTACTCGATATAAAAAAAAAGATTATTGGGAAAAGTGAGATTCTCAAATTTTTTGAAAATACTAATACTTATCATCACCAGAATAATTAACGATGATCAGCAAATTTCACTACTTGAGCCACGTATCACGAATTAAGCAAAGTTCTTTGTGAATAATTAATTATTTCTTCTATTATTAGTATTTTTTTTTTTAAAAAAAAACCATTTAGCATTGTGGAACAAATAAAAATATATGTATAATCATTTCAGATAATACTTTTATTTGTAGCATAGATATCATCACTACATTTCTTATTTTTTTCTATAATCCTCTTCAATTTTTGAGTAAGTTTATCTTCATCTAATATTAATATTAAGTTTATTTGATGTCTACTACTATTATACAGTATATCAATATTATAAGTGTAATAACATTCATTGAAATATGAATAACACAATACTTGTGTTTGCAACCTTTGATTTTTTGACTTTCATTAGTTTGTATAGGTTTTCATGTGTTGAACCTTTGTAATTATTATCACCCTCATCTCCAGAATCTTCTGATTATAATCAAAAATAATGAAAATGCAGTTGATGATGATTCGGGTAATGTTGAATCAGCAACAGATGATGCAGCAATGATGGAAATTTTATTAGAAAATGCAAAAAAACATTTTTTGAGTTGTAAATTTTGTTTTTATTAATAAATTTGTTTTTTCATACATTGTTCATGTTTTGTCTTAATCATATATCTTAAATTGGTTGCATTTACATTTTATCAATGTTCATTATGTTAAGGTTATTTTGATTATATCAAGAGTTATGGTCAAGAGAAGAGAGTTATTCTCAGTGTTGAAATTTCGTTAACTAGTGCAAATTTAGAAACTATCTCTAAAAATTAAAATTTGATTGGTGCGTAATGTTACACCTGGACATCCGGACATTGAATTTTCTACACTAACACTGGTTATTCTTCAACCAATTTGAAAAACCAACCCTTTAAATACATTTTCGAATAGTACAATTTAATTTATTAGACTATTTCAAAGGGTTGCTTCCAACCTTTTAAATTTGAACCATTTGTTAACATAACAACCATTGGTGAAGTGATTGTTGACAAAATGAATCATATTTTTACATTATCAAGTTCATGATTTTGATTGGTCAATCAACAATTGTATAGGTTAAATTTTGTTACCTGTTCTTATTCCTTTTCTCAAACAAATAATTGTTTTTTATGTGACATACTTAGTAAACATTCTGGTCTTGGAATAATTCTTATTTAATAGAAAATGATAAAATCTATGACATATGTAAAGCATTAGCAATATGAAATTCAATATTAATTATTTTAAGGATACTGGCTGCAACTTTTGATGATGGTTGCTACCATCTTTGCAACTGGTGGTTGCAATCATTTTTATATGACACAACCACCTTTATGACCATTTTGTTTCCTTTTTTGGATTGCAACATGGAACACTAAATTATTTTATTTATTGTATATGTTCTTATAATAATAAAAAATTATATTTCTTGTGAATTTCCTGTAAATACTTTTCTCAATGATTTTGTTAATTTGACTTTTTTGTAAATTTCCTGTAAATGTTTTTATTTTCCACAGAAATTTACATTCTCTTGTAAATTTGCTATAAATTTTTTGTATTACAAAGAATTCATAAACTTTTTGCAAACTTTTTCATATAGAATAAGATTCATGTAAATTTTTAATAAACTTTCTGTATTTTCCTGTAACTTTTCTGTAAACTTTTTTCATAGGGCAATTCTGATGGACAAGATCACAGAAGCCTTAAACTTTTACTTCTAAGGTAATTTATTGAAATCAAATTGATCAAATTGATTGAATTTTGCCAAAATATAAAGAAAAGTCAAAGCAATATATTAATATTAAAAAAAATAGATTTTCCATAAAATGGGTTTTGTGCACAATCACGTGATCTTTTTCCTATTCTAAATTCAATAAAAATAGCAAGTTTCACAATATAAAAAAGATCAATGATTGATTTTGTCATAAGTGATAAAATGAATGTCCACTATGCTATCAAAAGTCCACTATGCTCACTTGACCACAGTCAAATATTCAATGACAAATTGATTACCAATCGAATTTGGTTGATTCCAACCTGGTCAATCATATCCAAATCATATATACTACAATACAATTTCTTAAATAGGAATAAACACACAGGTCTTGGGGAAATTCTTGCTCCTAGTAAAAAAAAATGAATGAAGGTATTTTTTCTTACACAGAAAATAAC